TTAGACTCTTGATTTATGAGCTTCTTTAGAGGATTACACTTGAGGATTATTGTTAAACTTTTGCAGAATCTTTGTTCTTCAATTAATTTCAGTAATAGAATTTTGGTGATTTTTGTTCATAAATCAAGTGAACTTTCGGATTTTACTCTTTCTCATTGAAGTATGTTCATGAATTCCTATGTCATATATTTGAATATTGTGCTTATGACTATGGGTAACTAAACTCCATAACTAGGGTTGTGGGAACCATAGGCGAATAATGAGGTAAAACCTAACTAAAATAACATTTCTAGAATAGTGTCTTGCATGTATTGTAATTCTTTCGCTAAGAAGTATTTTTAACGTATGGACAACGTTAGAACTCTCCTTAATGCTACTTGCCAGACCAAGGAGGTAGATAATAGGAAAAGAATTATCAACGTAGATTTAGTGTATTCTATCTAATAGGATAGTATTTATTGGTACAAGGTAATAACTTAGTCAAATATTGAATACAATGATTAATATGAGGTAATGGTAAGGGTTAGTATAGCAACACACATAGCCAATCCAAGGTGCAGAGTGAAATTCTCAAGATGCCGAACAAAGAATTTAGAAATACACATCTTATCACTTTGCATGCAAGTCACTAGGAAAGAATTGTTACAGTAAGAATTATCAAGTTATGAACCTGTGGGGAACACGTAAACCCTAGTTATTTTTATTAATTGATTAAACTCAAACATTTGAAGTTTTTAGTTGTCTCCTTTATGTTCTCTAGCTACATTCATTCATTTAGAAATAGAAAACCCCCCCTTTTTTTTTATCATTTTTTCTTTCCAATGAACTAATTGACTGAACAATAGTAATAATATATTGAAGTTAAGTCTAAACTATTTTGCTCGTGGGAACGATCCCAACCATATTAGTTTGGTTATTTACTTGACACGACTGCTTTACTTTTTATTTGAGAAGTAAGTTTGAGTATGTCATTGCCGCCATAGCAACTAGCTAGCGGATTCAACCTAAGCGAGTTGGTATGAAGTGGTTTCACTTTGGACGGTGATTCCACCTCTTTTCGGTGTGTGAAATACACTTGATTTTCATATTTAGCTCACATAATCTATATCCATTAAATGCTCAAAGAAATTATTAGTTTAACGACTCTTTTTTATATGGGGAGAACACTGAACTTAGTTTCACTCTACTCGGTGAACCACCGCTTTTCGCTGTGAAGAAGACATTGGATTTAATTTTAGCTCACATGATCTAGATTAACTTTGATCTGTGAATCACCCATTTATGGTGTGGGGAAGACATTGTATTTCAAGTTAGCTCACATGATCTTAATTCTAAAGATGTCCTTAAGAAAGCAAGAATGAAAGAAGAAGAGATGTATGTTTAAAGTGAGCAAAAAAAAAAGTGTCATGACCATAATCTAGACCCCAAACAAGATCAGCGTCGTTAACCTCTCAGAGGTCGCAGACAAGCCTACATACGACATTCTTACTTCATCTATGTTAATTTTAGCGCAAAATTTGAACTTTTTATTCTTATTTCATGCTAAAAATTTTAAACTTAATATTATAGGTGTTCACAAATCAACCATATAATATAGAGATAATCAAATGAAAGAAAACAGTTCATAATTACATTAAACGTATTCTTACAAAAAAGGCACCAATAAAAAGTCAGAATGGAAGTGGAAAGAAACACTAGATGAATATGCTCCAATAGTTAAAACCTAAATCTAAGCTAGATAATAGCGATAGACATCCTCGAACGCATGAGGGCCTACCATGTCCGGATGAGAGCTCCACATACGGATAGCTGCAACGTCAACCTGTAAGCTCTAGAGTCCACCTGTTCCTCCACCTAAAAGTATAGAGTTGTATGGGATTAGTACACATTTGTACTAAATATGGGTATATTCAAGCACACATAAAGGACATGCATGAGTAAAAATATCTCTTTCCTAAAAACAAGATTTATGGAAAGTCAAGTCACTAGACTTGTAAAATTTGGATTAGGAATGTTAGTGGACCTGCCAAATTTTGATTTGGAAAGTAAGTGGACTTGCCAAATTGGACTAGAAAAGTCATTCCATGAGAGTAACATGCATCATCATATGTATCATATTGCACACAATACATAACATCTTACACATTACACATAGAATAATACATATAGCATATAATCTTTCAGATAATTCATTCATATGCCAAGAGACTTTGGAATCATGGACTTAATGCTTAGACTTCCCAAAAATGAGGGTTCAACATATGTGACCTCAACTAGGGAGCCTTCTTTAGAAAACACATAGTCTGCTTCATTCATTCATACGTACTTCATTTCATTCATTCAAAAGATAGTGTAAACAAAAGCTATACCTAGAAAGTAGTTTAAGACTTTTATCGGGTTCGCTGTGCAATGATAAAAAATTGCGCAATTTCATTACTTAAGGTGAGAAAATAAAATAATTAAAAGTCTTTAAATTATGTAAGTGACCAGAATGGGGTGTTAAAGAAAGTGAGATAAGTGTCACTTTCATCTAAGACAACTATATTAAAGATACTCACAAAATATGATGTTAATAATCGTGAGAAATTTCTCATTAACACAAAGAGGATAATATAAGATTAAATTTCACATTTCATCAAGTAAATTAAGGGATGACCGGTTATCCAAAGATTTAAGTAAACTTAATAATTAGAAGCAAGCTTCCATAATGTATGAGTCAATTCTAAAAGAGGTAAAGAAAAAGAAGTTGAGCAAAGCACCATTAGTCTAGAAATGAGCTTGTGCAAGAACATGTTAACCTAATGGGATGAGCCTACGACAAAGGTGGATAAGAAGTCTCCGTATGTCTCCTAGTCTTCGAACTATGTTTCAATAATAAGAATAAGCTATTGGATTCGACCTATGCAAGCGAGGTATGATGTGGTTTCATTTTGGCCAGTGATTCCACCTCTTTTAAGTGTGGGGAAGACACTATAATTCATGCTTATCTCACCTTATCTATGTCGGTTAAATTCTAAAAGAAAGTATTTGGTTCACTTTAGTCGTGAACCACCTCATTTCGATTTGGGAGAACACTAAACTTTGTTTAACTTTAGCCAGTGAACCACATCTTTTCGGTTTGGGGAAGATACTAGATTTCATGTTAGCTCACATGATTTAGATTCACTTTTATCGGTGAATCACCACTTCTCGGTGTGGGACAGACACTCTATTTCATGTTAGCTCGTATGATCTTAATTCTAAAAATGTCCTTATGATAGTAAGAAAGAAAGAATAAGATATGCATGTTTAGAGTGTGCTAAGAAAGTAAGAGCCTAAGAATATTAATTGTCTGTGTTTGATAAGAATGAAGTTTTAAGCAAATAATAGGCATAGCACATAATTAATTCTTTTATCAAGAAGATGGGCATAGCAAAAAAAATTTGCTTAAAGTGACGTCTTATATTATTCCATGTAAGGGAGTAAAATGTAATAGCAAATTAATGCGCTGTAATCTCCATAGTATGAAAATGAATAAATAAGTGGCCTAGCGAATAAATATTGAATTATATAGATTCTATGCCCAATCTAACAAGAATGGAAAGAATAACTTGTAGTAGGAGTAGCCAAATCATTTCCTTAATCTCTTGGATTACTTACTTGTTTCATTGTAGGTATGGGACTACAAGGAATCATTGCACTTTTAGGTAAAATATGAGAATAAATGTATCTTTTAACTACACAACAAAAAGAAGAAGAAGATTTGAAAAATAAACTAAGCATAAAAAAAGGGCTCTCGGGTTTGGAGGAGTAATTTTTAGAATTTTCGTTCGAGTTGTTCTAAAATTATGTTGATGATTCTAAGGTTTTATATAAATAAAAAAAATGAGTTATGTGCGATGAATGCATTAAAATATGTCGTATTTATACTGTAACTCATAGATATCCAATTACAAAAGTCTAGTTATGTCATTTTCCAAAAATGGCATGTTGTTATAGGAAGAGCTTTCATTGATCATGCATAGTCTTTTTGTGTATGTGTGCATACATCCATACATAGTACAAGTGTGTACGAAAACTATACTATTATTATCTTTATTTGTGCAGTAAGAGAGAAGGTTGAACACCCATCAAAGTTGTTTGGATTATCGATCTCCAGAATTTTGTAGGTGATCTTTATATTCGAGGATGCTACACTTATCTATATAGTGTAGTAGTTTAGACATAGCTAGTGGATATTGTCCCTAGCATTTCTTTTCAAACATTTATTTTGAAGCTTCGTACTAAGGGCATTTACTATTACATTATACATTAATCTTTTGATAGGAATTGATTCATCAATTCTAGATTGTTGTTTTGATTTGAGCTTAGTAGAATATTAATCTATATACAAAATATATGACATCTATGAATGCTTCATTATGTATTCAAAGTTTTAAATTTTCTGCAAATTTAACTATATGAATGTGATGAAAACTAAGAAGAGGCTTGTCTGCGACCTCTCAGTAGTTAACTCCGCCGATCACGATCTGGATTCCAGAATCCTGATTATGAAAAACTTGGTATCATAGAATGAGGTTAAATTACCTAGGAACATAAGCTCAAAAAACCAGGTTACGTAGTTTTTACCATATGGTTGTTAAGTGTTCCATAATCATAACTTAGAGACTAGGAGATGTTATGATTCTTCCCTTCTTATATTCTTTATTGTGTCGTGTAGAGCTTTGATATTTTTTGTCAATTCTAGAATCTTATTCCGTTCTTGTGCATATGTGTAGAAACTAAACACAAGGAGAAACGTAGGTAGAAGTGTCAAAGAAGCTGCTGCTCGAGGCAACCAAACTCATCCACAAGCCCCAGTTGCTATAGTGCAAGTCCTTGTCAACCCAGCTGCATTGACGGATGGAGAAGTAAGAGAATCACTACTTCAAACGGCCCAATACATCACTACACAGACACAGGCTATCACACCCTAGGCCACTAAAGATGTTGCTAGTAAGGCGAAGACATATGCTAGCACCATGGGTAGAAAACTGATGGATTTTACTAAAATAAATCCTTTAGTATACTACAGGTACAAGGCCAATGAGAATCTTGAGGAGTTTGTGGCTGAGGTTCATAAGTTTATATGTCCTATGGGTGTTAATGAAGAGGAAAAGTCTATGTTTTCTGCTTACCAACTCAAAGATGTGTCTCAGGTGTGGTACATGAACTGGAGAGATGGACGAGAACTAGGAGAAGTTCCTATTACTTGGGACGTTCTTAATACAAAATTCCTAGAGAGGTTTGTTCCTAGAGATAATAGAGAGTCTATGGTTGAGGAATTCATTAACTTACAATAGGGACGCATGTCAGTTAGGGAATACTCCTTGATGTATGTTACACTTTCCAAATATGATTCTTCTGTGGTGTCCAATAGCATGGATGAGATGAGCAGGTTTGTGATTGGTGTGTCGGAGGATCTAGAAGAGGAATGATGGGTAGCCATGTTCCATGATAACATGGACCATGGAAAGTTGATGGTACTTATACAGAAGGTTGAGGGGAGTCATCCGAGAAAGAGAAACCGAGGGAGCAAGAAATCTAGGTCCTCTGGCCATCCAATTCAAGCAATGGTAATTATTCGTGTGGAGTTCGGTATAGGCACAAGTTCAAGAAGGGGCATAAGAACTCAAATAATCCAACTTCTTCTAATAACAGTAATTCCAAGGAGGGCAATGGTAGAAATTCTAAGCTTGATTGTAAGTCATGTGGTAAATGTAGAGATTTACATGGAGATGAGATCCTAGTAGGTAATAATAGCTTCTATCAGTGCGGCAAGAGTTGGCATATGATGAGGGACTGCCCACACATGAGGAATCAATGCAAGATAGATGCTCATCATTGGCCTAATCCTACTGTTGCAGCCGAACCTCCTAAGAGGAACAAATTCTATGCATTGAATGGTAGAGTGGAGCAAGAGAAGTCAGATGATGTTGTCACTGGTACGTTGCATGTATTCTCTTTTAATGTGTATGCATTTTTATATCAAGGATCCACTTTGTCATTTTTTTCTACTTTAGTAGCTAGTAAGTTTGACTTGCTTCCTAAGATCTTGTATTAGCATTTTCGAGTTAGTACTCCCATAGGAGATGGCATTAGAGATGAAAGAGTATATAAAGAATGCCCAATTAATATTCTTGGTTGAATCACCCATGTTGACCTAATACAATTCACTATGCTTGATTTTCATATAATCTTGGATATGGATTGGATCCATAAGTATTATGCTGCAATAGACTGTCGAAACAGTGTAGTAAGGTTTCAATTTCCAATTTAATTAGAGCTTCAATGGGAAGGGCGAGGTTCAAATCCAACAAGTCAAATAGTTTCCAATGTTAAAGCCAACCAAATGTTATCTACATGGGTTAGGAGCCTAAATAAACATTATTATGAAGAGGTTTTCATTGAAATTTTAGATCACCTAGTGAAATGGTTGAGAAACGAGGATTTTTCCACCGTTAAGATGTTATGGAGCTACCACCTTGTTGAGAGAGAAATATGGGAGGCTGAGGCCGATATGAGATCCCGTGACCGTAAAATATTCAGTTCATGAGGGTAGATATACTTTTCCATAGTCCGATTTTTTTAATGAGACTTTATATATTAGGGAAATAGGTGGCTTTTTTGTTCTATGTTAATAATTGTGTGTTTTATACTTGCACTATATGAGTAAATATGAGTTCATGCTTGCATTAATGTTGCTTTTTTTGTATAGCGTTTATATGATTTTTGTGTTGCATGAGTTCTAATGTGCATTAAGTTAATTGTTATTGATAAGGAAGTTCCTCAATCTCAAATATAAAGCTTCAGTTAAGCTTGAGTAATATGCATCATCTAGAGTGATTGTGAATCAGAAATTAACAGAGAGTAAAGTTTCAAGTATGCTAAAGTTTTTTCTAAAATCACCCTCTTTATTTTAAAAATGATGTGTAGTGTCATTCATGGATGATTTATCTTAAGGGGGGTTGATATAACATTTCAGAAAAAATACGTGTCTAGTGAAGATCTCAATAGGTCTTTAAGAATGTGTATTGGGGGTACATAGGCATTACAACGCCCAATATTGAGAAATATTGGGCATAGCATAGATAATTGAATAAGGGGTATTAGCCAATTTCTATATAATACCCAAATAAGCAAAATATTGGGCATATTAGAAAATATTGGCTTAATAGTTATTGCCAATTTTTCTAAGTATTAATGAGCTTGTTTAAGATATTTAACTGCAATAAAGACCCTAATCTAGAAGGATATGTTTCATTGTATTAGCATTATAGATATGAGGCATCCATGTTTCAAGCTTTAGCATCATAGCACATGACAACTTAAAAAGGTCATGTATATTAAGCAGTGCCCAAGGACATAGGTGAGGATCCTTGGAACAATAAGTAAGCATTCCAAATGAACCATCTCGAATATGTAGATAGGAAAGTTCAAACGACACATGTGCAAGAACGTGTGTAGGTACAACCAAGGAGGGGACCACCCTGACCTAATTCAGTTAGGGTACTTAGGGGGCAAGCGTGCACAAGTGTTCCACCAAGTGGGGCCTAGCTCCCAAAAAACCTAAGACTATAACTAACTCACCTAACTATCTTACTAACCTAGGAAAAACAAAATTATATTATGTAGTGCACATGACAACCTAAGACTTAATTGGGTGACACTTACCTAGTAACTAGTTGAAGAGATAATCTAGTACCTAACCTAGGGTGGACCAAAATGGTTAGTTATGGTTCCAATGACTTAGGGGTACTTTAATAATTAACATTGGTTTGTTAATTCATTAAATATAAAAATTTAATTAATTAATTAAAATTTTAAATTTTTGCCAAGACCCTAGCCATTTTCCAGATTTTGGTGGGTCAAGTCAAATGTTTTCCTATTTTTAATCATTCTTAAGGTTTTTTTAGAGATTAATTAATTAATAAATAAATTAATTTAATTAATTAGACAAAGTTAAACGAGTCAATATCATTTCCTAAGGCTTATTTTCACGTTCAAACACAATGAAATTCACAATGCAAAATAGTAAACGAAAGAAAGAAAAACATAAAAGTTTCTCTCTATTACTCTTAGGCGATTTCAAAGTTTTCTTCATGGTTCATGCAAGGTGATATTCTTAGATTTAATTCTACATAAGGTATGGGTTTTATCTCATGTATTTATTTCTCCAAGGGACTTTTCAAACGTTTGAATTCAGGAATTTCGAAACTAGGTTTGTTCCCCAATGATATTGTTTAACATCCATCTCATTAGTTATCCTTGTTTTTGATTCTTTAAAAATATAGAGGTAATCTTGAACATATTTCTGGTATGTGGTGCTATCTGATAATTTAGTATAGGTTTTTTATTAGTTAATGATTACTGATGCATATATATACTTGATTCATGTGATTAGTGCATTAGTTATATGAAATAAGGAATAATGTAATGGTTAATTGTGTTTGAGAACATGAAGTGTGTTAAAAGTCCATTATAAAGTTAGCAACTATTGAATTAGACTTGATGCCTATTGAGGGGATAAATAAAATACATTTGTGGGATTAATTGATGTGGTTAGTGATAACATAGTGAAAGTTGTTTAAGTGAAAGCTTGGTTTATGCCACTAAAATGGCTAGAAATTTTTTGCCCAAAAAGTTAAATGAAATTCGCAAACAATATTGCTTACAAAGTATGATGGGAAGATTGGATAATGGTTAATATAAACCCAATTAAGCATGACTAATATAACTTTGAATTCATAACCAAGGTTATGCCAATCATTGGGGCAAGTCCCAACATTCCCTTTAAAAATGAACTATGAACTTAGTAACTACATTAAACAAAGTTCTTAACGTTTATAAAGAATGGTATAAAGCTAACAAAAGACATGAAATAAGATAGGGTGAGAAATAACATAATTAAAAGTCTTTAAATTATGTAAGTGACGAGAATGGGGTGTTAAAGGATGTGAGACAAGTCTCACTTACACCTTAGACAACTACGTTAAGATACACACAAAATATGGTTTTAATAATCGCGACAAAAGTCTTATTAACACCAAGATTATAAATATAAGGTTAAATTTAAAATTTCATCAAATACAGAAAGGGATAACCGGTTATCCAAAGAGTTAAGTAAACCTCATAATTAAAAGCAAGCTTCCATAACGTTTGAATCAATTCTAGAAGATGTAAAGAAAAAGAAGTTGAGCAAAGCACCGTTACACTAGCAATGAGCTTGTGCCAGCACATGTTAACCTCATGAGATGAGGCTACCACCAAGGTAGATATGTAGTCTCTGTATGTCTCCTAGTCTTCGAACTATGTTTCCAGCATGAGAACTAGCTAGTGGATTCGACCTAAGCAAGCTAGGTATGATGTGGTTTCACCGTGACCAGTGATTCCACCTCTTTTCAGTGTGGGGAAGATATCGTAATTCATGTTTATCTCACATTATCAATGTTGGTTAAATGATCAAATAATGTATTTTGTTAACTTTAGCCGTGAACCACCTATTTTTTGTGTGGGGAGAACACTAGACTTTGTTTAACTTTAGTCGGTGAACCACCCTTTTCTGTGTGAGGAAGACACTAGATTTCATGTTAGCTCACATGATACAGATTCACATTGATCGATGAATCACCATTTTTCGGTGTGGGGCAGACACTGATTTCTTGTTAGCTCGCATGATCTTAATTCTAAAGATGTCCTTAAGAAAGAAAGAAGAAGAGATGCATGTTTAGAGTGTGCTAAGAAAATTAGAGCCTTGGAATATTTATCGTAAGTGTTTGATAAGAATAAATTTTTCAGCAAATAATAGGCATAGCCAATAATGAATTCTTTAATCATGAAGATGGGCAAAGCCAAATAAAATTTTCTTATAATGATGTATTATATTATACCATGTAAGGGGAGTGAAATGTAATGGAAAATTAATGCCCCGTAATCTCCATAATATGAAACTGATTATACAAGTGGCCTAGACAATAAATTTTGGCTTATAAAGATTCTATGCACAATCTAACAAGAATGGAAAGAATAACTTGTAGTAAGGGTAGCCAAATCATTTCCCTTAGTCTCTTGGATTACTTACTTGATTCATTGTAGGCATGGGACTACAATGAATCATTAAACTTGTATGCATAATACGATATTAAAGAGATCTTTGAACTACACAATAAGAAGAAGAAAAAGAATGAAAAAAATTATTATAAAAAAAAGTGGCTCTCGGGTTTGGAGGAGTAACTTTTAGAATTTTCATTTGATTTTTTTCTAATATTATTTTGATGATTCTAATGTCTTATGTTCATAAAAAAATGATTTGTTTTCTTTGAATGCATTAAAATACGTCATATTCAAACCACAATTAAGATATAAACAATTGGAAAAGTCTAGTGATGTCACTTTCAAAAAATGGCATATTGTTATAGGAAGATCTTTCCTTCTGAATATATAGTCCTTATGTATATGTTGGCATACACCCATAGTTAGTACAAGTGTGTACTAACCCTATACTATTATTATCTTTATAGGTGCAGGTTAGAGAAAAGGTTAACGACTCATCGAAGTTGTTTAGATTGTCGATCTCTCGTCATTGGTAGGTCCTCTTGATGTTCAACGATACTACACTTATCTATCTAGCCTAGTACTTTACACATAACTAGTGAATGTTTTCCCTAGCGTTTCTTTTCAGAAATTTATTTTGAAGATTGGTATTTTGTCCATTTTGGCTAACTGTTACATTATATGTTGATCTCTTTATTTGAATTGATTCATCAATCGAAGATGCTTTTTTATATTAGCTTAGTGGAACATTAATCTATGTAGAAAATATATGACGTCTATATATACTTCATTTTGTTTTAAAAGTTCTAAATTTTCGCAAATTTAACAATATGAATGTGATGAAAACTAAGAACAGCCTTTTTTGCGACATCTGAGAGGTTAACGCTGCATATTGTGATTCGT